CACACAAAACTGAACACCCTAGACCTGCCCCTTCCCTGAGGCCCTGCCCCCTGCTCACTACATTCTCCCTCCCTCAGTGGCTTGCTCTCCCCCACCCCCAGTTTCACTGGGGTGGAGCAGGGGGTTGGGGTGTGGGAGGGGGTGAGGGCTCTAACTGGGGGTGTGGGCTACGTGGTGGGGCCAGAAATGAGGGGTTAAGCGTGTGTGAGGGGGCTGCAGGCTGGAGCAGGGAGTTGGGGTGTGGGCTCCAGCTGGGGGTGCAAGCTCTGGAGTGGGGTTGGGGATGTGCGGTGTGAGGTGCAGGAGGGGCCTCCAGGCTAGGGGGTAAGGCCAAGGGATTCGGCATGTGGGAGGGGGCTGCGGGTTGAGGCAGGGGGTTGGGGTGTGGGAGGGGGTACGGCTTTGGGCTCGGGGTGCAGGCTCTGGAGTGGGGCCGGGGATGAGGGGCTCGGGGTTGGGGCATGGGCTTACCTCGGGCGGCTCCTGGTCAGTGGCACAGTGGGGCTAAGGCAGGCTTCCTGCCTCTCCTGGCTCCGCACTGCACCCCGGAAGCGGCTGGAAGGTGCAGCTCCTAGGTGGGTGGACCAGGAGGCTCCGCGTACTGCTCTTGCCTGCAGACACCGCCCCCCAGCTCCCGTTAGTTGCGGTTTCTGGCCAATAGGAGTGTGGAGCCGGTGCTCGGGGTAGGGGCAGCGCACAGAGCCCCGTCATCCCCCCACCTAGGAGCCGGACCTGCTGGCCACTTCCGGGGCACAGCATGGTGCCAGACAGGTAGGGAACCTGTGATGACTAGGTGTTCTGGTCGAAAACCAGACACCTGGCAACCCTAAATCTGATCAGCAAACTAGCTCATTCAACACGAGCCAATGTGCAGACACTAAGAAGCTCTGAGCTTGCCTTGTGCTATTCTGTAGCAGAGTACTGCTCCCTGGTCTGGCTCAGCTGCTCTCACACAGGACTAGTGGACATTCAGCTAAATGAAACACTGTATATAATAACTGGTACTGAGAGACCAACTTGACCTTGCTGCTGGTCCTGTCCAACATTGCCCCTTCTGATATCAGGGGACAAGTTGCTCGTTAAGGTGCAAGACATAACACATCTGTCTCTGTTTAAAGATGTGACTAATCTACCGTTTTAGCTCAAGGCACCCCATTTGGACAATTCCTTTTTAAGAACCTCAATGTCCCCTCTAGACAACATACTAGGTGCCAAGAACAAGGTTTAAACATAGCCAGAACCAACAGTTCAGCCCCCTAGTTTTGACCTTCCACACCAACTGTGGGCAAACCTCAATTGCTTCAAATGCAGACTCATCAGATGTTCTGCAAATGACTAAGTGGGGCCTTCATGACTCTGCCCTTTGCTGCTGAGGCCAGTTAGGCAGGAGCCATTGGCAATTGCTGACTGATTTCCATTTGGACATGCACAATGCCTTTCCCTCAGGTATTGAATGGTTAAAACATTTAGGCTGGTGATACTCAGTCCTCAGTGGTTCAGGAGCCAAATTAGCAATCAACATTACCCAGAAGAGACCAAATATTCTACAATTGGTTAGTAACATAGTAAAAGCATCCTGATTGGTTAATAATGTAGATTGTTTAATAATTAAATCAGTGTTTTAATATCATGTGCTGCAAAGAGCCGCAGGAGACACATTAAAGAGCCACTTGCAGCTCCCAAGCCTCAGTCTGAGTATCACTAATTTAGACTAACATGCTTGACTTGAACATCTGTGTAAAAGCAATTGCAATTAAAAAATGGGCTATGTATATAAAATAATGACCATCTGATATAAGGAAAGAAGCAACAAACGTAAACAAGTAAAATATTATGTTGGGCTTGATCCTGCAGACTCTAATTTGTAAAAGCTCCCATCAACCTCAGCTTGATTCTCAAAATATTTCATTTTGCAGACCAGCAGGAAAGGCTTCACAGATCCTTGGCTGCTCACAGACTGTAATTTAAGCAGCACGCATATTCCAACTGAGCAAACATACAGATCCTTTAAAAAGTGAATTACACTGTATTAGATTTTAACAGTTATAGTAATGTACGGAAGTCCCAGAAGAGCAAGAGATTAATCATACACATATAACTCGTCCACCAGGTGGTTAACAACAGCAATAAAGCTGGGTTCAGGATCTCTAGTGTCCCTTTTGACAAGTACACCTCTACCCTGATATAACGAGACCCGATATAACACAAATTCGGATATAACGCGGTAAAGCAGTGCTCCGGGGGGGGCGGGACTGCGCACTACGGTGGATCAAAGCAAGTTTGATATAATGCGGTTTCACCTATAACGCAGTAAGATTTTTTGGCTCCCGAGGACAGCGTTATATCAAGGTAGAGGTGTAACTAAACCAGCTAAAGCCTCTACTGAGAAACTCAGGAAATCTAAACACCCCTTCTTTGGGTGCCTTTAACAGGCCAAACTTCTCCACTCACAAGCCCTCCAACATGGTATACAACAAGGAACTCTAACAAGGAAAAAGAAACGTACTCAAACTTGGTCAAACACAGTGTAAACCACTGGTGAGCATGCGTTACAGGTTCCCTGTATGCCAATTCATAGAGGATATGAGTTGTTATAGCCCCCAATGATACAGGATTGACTATTTAGCTCAAGCTGTAGCAGCTCGTCTTTTCAGCTCAGAAGATCCCTGGTTCAGTCCCAGGCATGTCAGTCATGAGGATAGCCATCATAACAGTGACAGAATATATATACAAACAAAGAGTAAAATTCCCCCAGTACTCCTGTAAAATGCTCTTCCAGTAACTTAGCAGAAGTCTGTCTAATTTCCTTCCCATCCATCTGTGAGACTGTCCCAGAGGTGGGGACTACATCACCTCACCCATCCAAACCTTACTCACAGTTTGGATTAGCAAGTAGCAGTAGTCTCTTTGTAGATTTGTCTCCAGTCCTCAGGAAACTGCTGCCTGGTGCCACTGACTAACACAACTCTGTGATTCAATGTTATTAATGTGCTGAGTGGGTAGGGCCTCAGGTGGAGTCCATTTAGCTCTGCTACTCCCCTCTACATCATCTCTCACTGCAAAATCCTCAAGGGAAGAGAGTCAAGAGCACTTAGACCACTTGACAGTTCTGATTGCTTGGACATGAGCTCTTTGCCACAAGATTTTTAAAAAAATCTTTCCCCTCTCTTAAATCTTTCTGAGATTCCCTATCTGCCAAAATCCAAATAGATGTATAGTTATGGTGACCTCCCAAGTATCACTAATTGAATTGTGGGTAGGTAGCTTATGCAAATGATGCTCTTGATGACACCACTTTTGCTGTTCACCAATAGAGGATGTATAGAGCTATTTCCCCCCTGAAGCTTCTGGCCATAGGGCCTACACCCATACACATTTCTCAAAGGGAGAAAAAGCTGCAAGGTCTTAGCCTCTGCTGAAGTCTTTAAGAGATCTACAGTACAACTTCTAAGATATTGCAAATGCCATCACATATTTAGATAGCACCTCCCTGGCAAGTTAGAAAGACTGAAAAACAAAAGAGGGCATCGGTTTCTTAACAATTGAATAGATGTTAATACTTCAAGAAGTATGATTTCTAGAAGAGTGTATGTCTCTAATATCAACAGTTACTCCCTATTTAACAGATTTAAAAAATACTATTGTGTGTATTTAGTGTTCATGAAAGGTATTGGAACTGTCCACTCTGGAGAATGAACTGTACCTATAAAAAAAGTATGATATAAGCAATGGTACAGCAAACATCCTTACACTACCATACCAATGTGCCTAGACCTGGAGAAGCTGTCTGTAGATGTGGAGGGATGGGTCAGTCTTTACAATATCTGAAGAAACTGCCAACAATGTTACTAGCCAAGGCCCACTGTGGTGCTTTTCTTATGGGACCACAACCACTGGGAAATGGAATTTCCAAACTCATTTCAATTAGGTTGCTGAACAGCCATCAGATGATAACGGTGTTTGGTCACAATCTGCCTGGGTAGATTTTAACCAGAGACTTAGACGTTAATTGCTCTATGCCCCATTTTTTAAAAGCATTTAGGTGTTGCTGCATTCAGTGTTGCAACACCTAACTGATTTAAGAGCCAAATTTAATTTTCAGGAGACATTTAGGCACTTAGGAGTCAAAGTTTCATTGACTGTCAATGGGATTTAGATTCCTAAGTGCCTAAATCAGCTAGGCATTGCAATGCTGAATGCCACAATACCTAAATAACTATCTCCTTACTAATCCTCTGAACCACTGGCTTTCCCAAGAGATATTTTATGGAGATTTTCAGGTCTAAAGTGGATACTTAAAAAGATCAAACTACTGTTTTCTCCAATGCTTCATTTTCTAAGCCTTTTTTTTAATTGCTGAAGGTGCCAAAGAAGTCCGCTCTTCACTTCTTTGGTTTTGTGTATGAATGTCATGTCATTGTTGCAAACATGAATGGGAGGATGCACATCTTGGGAACTCACCAGGGCACTTATATTTCTTTGTTCTTGATTCCTTTTATAAATGAACAAGAGGTGCTGATTCCATGAGTACTGATTCAGCACAACGAAGGACCAGAAGACATTGAAAATTGATTAGTTTTAGATTGCACAATCAGTAGGTACCATGTAAAGTTCTATTCCAGTTACTTTTCAAAAGCAATATTATGTGTTTTAAAAAAACCTTCCCCCCAACTCAACAACAACAAAAATACCAAACTTGTCAGTAAGTCAGACCATCATATTAGCAGCACAGTTCAAGTACTAGATGAAGAACTAAGGTGACCTTCAAAGAATGCTAGCTCTGTTCCACTAATTAGAGGGTAAGGAGTGCAGTATGCGTGATTAAACTTATTTAATGAATGTATTGTACATCCTTTGCCAAAGGAACATTTGGTTACTGTACATAAAATAAGATATATTTGTGTGTACATGGACTCCCCTGATTTTCCATTTAAACACTAACAGAAATTACTTTTATATAAGCTGAGCCCCTGTCCTTATATCAGTGCTTTCTGTTTCAGGATTAAAGAAGAGACCTCCCCATGTGCCCATCTAATAAAATACAGACTTGCCAGTCTTACAAGAATGGTAAGTTTAGATACCATTGTATAAGAGACATTTAATCTAAATGTTATACTTAGTGAGGTCTCTTTTTTTTTAATCTTAAACTATGGAGTAACTAGAGACCTGTTTCCCTGACCCAGAATGAGATTGGTAGCTACTCTCTTCCTCCTATTATTTGTTATTTATTTACAGTGATACTGCCTACATGGCAGGCACTTTCCAAATACTCAGGAAGAGCAATCCCTTCTCCAAAGAGTTTACAATTTGAAGACAGACAAGTAGACATAGATTGAGGGAAGGGGAACAACAGTAGGAAACTGACTCATAGGCCACTACGCTATGGGTACTGCCTACAGAGGCACACTTATGGTGTTGAAGCTATGCCACTGTAGCATAGACACTGTCTACAGTGACGGAAGGGGTTTTTCTGTTGCTGTAAGAATTCCATCTCCCTGAGCGGTGGTAGCTAGGTCAACAGACACATTCTGCCATTGACCAAACTGGCTTCTAAGCCAGGGGTTAAATTGGCTTAGCTATGGCATTCAGGGGTATGAGTTTTTCGCACCCCTGAGTGCCATAGCTATGTCAACTTAATTTTTAAGTGTAGACCAGGCCATATATTAGTGGTTTTCTACCTGTGGTCCATGGATCTCTGAGGGTCTGCAGACTGTCTAAGATTTCCAAAGGGGTCCGCACCTCCATTTGAAATACTTTAGGGGTCCGCAAATGAAAAAAGGTTGAAAACCACTGTCATAGATAAACCAGCAATTTAAAAGTTGACTTGAAATTTTGGAATAATTTTTGCATTTTTCATGCAAGTACACATGGTAAGTAAAAAATTAACACTCGAAGGACAGACCCAATGACCTAGCATCAAACTTTTTACTGTCTGTTAGGAAGGCTATATGAAAACAGTGGAAGGTAAACGGTCACAGATAAAATAAATCAAACAAGGAGGACTTACGACATGTTCTGAAAATAGCCATAGTATGGCTCAAAGGGGCAAGTCTGAAGCTAAGAGAACAGGCAATTTCCTATAAGAGTACAGTACAAAATCTTCATAATCAGCCAATGAGTGGGTGAATGTGTCTGTGCAGGCAATAACAGATTTCATCTTAATTTCCACACAGCTCTTGGGAAATACCCGGGTCAAAAGATACACTACCAGAAGTATTCATTGAAGTTCATTCAAGATTTGGGTATGTACCTTGGATTTTTTACTCACGAAAGCTTATGTCCAAATAAATCTGTTAGTCTTTAAGGTGCCACCGGACTCCTTGTTGTTTAAGTTCAGGTGTGTGACCTAAACTTCAGAGATTTCTCTTTATCTCTGAGAGTTCTTTTAAACTACCTCTAAAAGAATTAACGGAGAAAAGCCTTAAAAGTGTGAAAGTTTATCTTACTGTTTTATTATTATTAAACACTTCATATTATCCAATTCTTATTTTTTTTAACAGTGCAATGCTTTGGAAATGAATCACAGAGTTGTCCAACCAATAAATGATTTTGCAATTGAAACAATGTGTGATATTATAAGAAAAAGGACAAGGTGTTTATATGGAAAATAAACATACTGATGGTTTTAAAAAAAGTTTTATCAGCCACAAAAGGTTTAATCCATTCAGTCCCAGGTAGCCTCTCTATAAAGGTATCTGAGACATTTTGGCTCGTTAGTGAAATACTGCTGAAAAAGTCAACAAATAAAATACTAAGTACCTGGAAACCAGTCCCTCTCTTTTCATCTATTGAGCCAAATAGAAAAAGTTCATAATTGAAGTTCCCACAAAGGATAAATTGTGGATCAATTTAGATTTAAAATATTTTCAGTATTACACACACACACACGTAAATGAATACACACTAACTGAGAACTGTAGAGCTTCAAGAGCAGTTCTTCAGAGCTGCATTCATAGTAAGAATGCTACCTGAAACAACTGAAGTTTCATTGATTTTTAAATATCTTATCTTTTCACCAGAGAATATACTTTAGGCAAAGTGTAGTTGTGATACTTCATTTTGTCCATAGTTCATTGCAGATTCAAATTCTTTGAAGCTGACATGACCATCAGAATCCTGATCGACTTCCCTATAAAAGAAAAGATATTATAGATATCTTACAGTTTGTATTATAATTCACCAATATCCTTCTGGAGTATTCCTACTATGATGTCACTAGAACTGCAAAAAACCAAACCAAAACAAGAAACCTTACTTTTCTCAAAGTTCTTCTAAAAAGGAGAGCAAGGCAGGTCTACACTAGAAATTTACATCGGCGCAGCTGACCAATGTGTTGCGCCGCTGTAGCGCATTTAGTGAAATCTCTTAAACTGATAGGAGAGAGGTCTCCTCAGGGCTGGCGCAACCCATTAGGCGACCTAGGTGCTCGCCTAGGGCACTATAATTTGGGGGGCGGCAACCGCAGCGGTATTTCGGCAGTGGGACTTTCCGCTGCCTCTATGGGGGGGGCGGCATTTCGGGGCGGGACCTTCCGCTACCTAGGGCAGCAGAAAAGCTGGCGGCGCTCCTGGGTCTCCTGCTGGCTTAATAACTCCAGGTCCATGAGAGGCGGTAGCTATGTCAGCGGGAGAAGCTCTCTTGCCAACACAGCTCTGTCTACACCGGCACTTAGGCTGGTATAACTATATTGCTCAGGGTTGTGGGTTATTCAAACCCCTAAGGGACGTAGATACATCAAAGTAATTTTGTAGTGTAGACCAGAACTTAGTACCATTATCCACATCAACAGAAGGGAAAATAGAGTCATAAAGGGGTGAAATGATTTTCTCAAAGTTAGTGAAAGACCTGGAAATAGAACCCAAGCCCCTCACTTCTAGTCCAATGTTCTATCTACTGAACCTCCTCAAAGCTCTTTGACAGGACATGCTGGCAAAACTCACATAGCCCTTACTGCACTGCAAACTGGTAAGCAATTTACCTTTTGTAATGATCACTGTGACATCTTTAGCCCGATACTTAGCTCTTTACTGGACAAAGATAATGCTAACAAAAGACCACACTTGATCCTATGAAATACCCCAATGCAGGACTAATGTCAGACCAAAGAAGAGGTTTCAACAAAAGGTCTTTTTTGCCACTCTCTCAGCTAATATAAAGCTATGCTGAACTGGTACTTATTGATAAACTCTAATGGTAATCATATGGTGGCCCCAGCAGTTTTGTATTATTTAATCTTCAATTTGAAAAACATACATTTATAAAGTTTCTAGTCTTTATAGTTATAATGAAAACCCTCCAGATGTAAATTTAGACAACTGTGTTTTCGTTTGTGCTTGAAGCAACAGTTCTGAAGGTACAAACTGCTCTTATTTATCTCAAAGGTGTTAACAAGTAAAGTATTAAAGGGTGGTAGCATAATTAATGTCAAACAGCATAGCTTTAAGGAAAATAGGTCTTGTCAAACAAACTTTATATATTTTGATGCAATTACAAGTTTGATTGATAAAAGTAACTGTGTTGATGTACTATATCTAGACATCTGTAAGACATTTGACATAGTTCTGCATGACACTCTGATTAAAAAAATTAGCACCACACAACATCAGTATAGTCCATCTTAAACAGATTAATTGCTATTCAATTTCTTTATCAAAGGTCTGAAAGTAAATATAAAATCATTGCTTGTAAAACTTGCAGATGACACAAAAATTGGTAGCGTGATCAATAATGATGGGAACAGATTAGTTATACACACTAATCTAGATCACTTGGTAAACTTAGCCCATTCAAACAAAATGCCTCTTAATACAGCTAAATGCAAAGATAACCACTAGGAACAATGAATTTATAAAATGGGGGACTGTATCCTGGGAAGCAGTGATGCGGAAAAAGACTTAACGATCATAGTAGATTACCAAATGACTTGGGGTAGTCTACACTGCCCCGCAGTTCAGAGTAAGGCACTCAGTAGTGCTCACCAAAGTTCTGCACCGTAACTCCTTTGTGTGGATGCTGCAGACACAAACTTAAAAGTCCAAAGTTTGGACTACTGTAGTCTTTTAGTGCAAACCTTTAAGGTCATTCCCACAGCATCCACACAGGAGAGTTACAGTGCTTGACTTTTGTCTGCACTGCTATTCACACCTCCTTAATCTGAACTGTGCAGCAGTGTAGTCATGCCCATGAGTTCCCCGTGCAATGCTGTACCTAAGAGGGTGATTGTGATCCTTAGGATATGTAAGCAGGGGAATATTAAGGCGAATTAAGGAGGCAGTATTATCTCTGTCATTAATGAGATCATCACCAGAACACCATGTCCAATTTTGGTGTACACATTTCAAAAAGGATGTTAAAAAATTGGAAAGCATTCAGAAAAAAGATAGAAGAATGATGAGATCTGGAAAACATTCCTTACAGTAAGAGACTTAAAAAACTCAATCCATAAGAAGGTTAAAAGCTGATTTGATCATGGTCTACAAGTACCTACATGGGGAAGAGATTTCTGATAGACTAGCAATAAGGCATAATTTGTTAACAATAAGAATAATTAACTATTGGAATAATCTACCTAGGGACATGGTGGATTCTCCATCGCTTGAAGTCTTGAAATCAGAACTGGATCCCTTGCTATAATATATGCTGGAGTTCACACAGAGTGATGGGGCTGATGCACTGTTAATGATTTCACTGCTGAACAACACTGAGGGTAGGCAGGGTTTGGGAATGTAAGGAGAGCTGGACTGGCAAGTACCACCAATTCTTCCCATCAGTCTGACCCTTGTGAACAAGATACAGAAGACTATACTTGCTGATCAGTGCTTGCCTTTTATTATTTTTATTTATACTTCAGCATAGATATGCCTGATGCTGTTCAGATAAATAAGAGTGACTGGTATTTTACCTGAATGATCTTACAGTCGAAATGCTCCTCTCACTTCCCTCGAGGGCAAGAGGAGAATGTCCACCGCTACATCCTCTTAGGGGGGGTAGCTTATTTTTAAAAGATCATCTACCGAAGAATTTTTTAAAAAATCTGCTTTGGTGATCATGTTTGCTAGTTTGGATTCCAATAATAATTAGCTAACTAAGATAACCAGACAAACAATACATCCAGATTGATATTTGTGAGCTGATGTCTAAGAAACGAAGTCTCTGACATTATTATGAGACATGAACCATCTATTTTCAAAAGGACCTTCAATCAAGCCTCTCAACTTTCTGCCAGAATCAATGACAGGCACACATTTTAGAATTTAGGGTTGAAATCCTTCATTGAAATCAATGGGAGTTTGTCATTGACTGCAATGGGGCCAGGATTTCATCCCAAATGTCTGACTATCTAAGTAGTGGGTGCAATTAGATGTTTACCCTCTGCTCCTGATTGGAAGCAGTTTTTGAAAATTTGGCCCTAAAACTGTATGTGGCACATGCTCAATATCTCAAAAGCCACTAAAAGGCTCTTTTAAATCAAAGTTCAGTATATGAACAATCTTTTAGCAGAGATTAGCAGCACATGTTGATAGATGAATGGTAAATGAGCTATGGCTGGTTAAAAGTAGTAAATTAAAGAAATACTATACTTAATTTAAAATGTGGATTTCTGAGAGCTCTGCCAAAGTAATGTGAAAACCACAATGGTCTCAGAGAGTTAAATCTTCATCTTCATCCATTGGAGACAGATGAAATACTTACCTTTGTGATTAAGAAAATAATGTGTTATAGTATATTGCTCTAAAATAACTGCATACCTCAGAGGTCACTATTCATTTACCTTTATTTAATAAAATATATGTAGATATTTCATGGTATGCAGTAGATAAGGCAGACTGTGTGATCTTTTACTTGAATTTTAGTAATAACAGTATCACAAGTTACTGACTGGAATATAAATTACCCTCTTATTAAATTAGCTAGTTGAAGACTCCTGAAACCATCTAAGTATTTTTTCTTGAGGAACTGGATTAGATAAATGGTACTTTTCTCTCAACAGGAATATTTTAACTGTAAATCTCAATAAGAAGTGTAAGTGAATAATCAACAAGAGTAATGTTTAATATATGTTGCCTCTTAAAATTTCCTGTTTATTAATCACTGAAATAGAGTACTTACTTTAAAAAGTTATTCACACACTGAAAATGTATTTTCACCCTTTCATTTTATAAATAACAATATTATGTATTGATCAGCCACTATATTTTCCTTTCCTTTGTCACATTTAAAACACAGTTTATATAAGGTTAAA